CCTAGTTCCTTTGCTCTCCGAGCAATCCTGGGTGTTTATGCTGATTAGGACCCCTCCATCAATGTGCTTACTTACCTACGTACTCAGAACTTTCTAGGTCAGTAGTTCAAATAGTGACCCAGACTGGCTTCAGTCACTGGCTAACAGTCAAATGAGAAAAATCAGAACAGAGTGCTGAGTTTCCATAGAGCTAAGCACGTTCTATTTCTGGGGATTTTCTTTCCCCTTTGCGATTCACAGATGACTTTCTTGGCATTAAACCTTCTTTTAAAATTAATGGTCATTTCTTTTTCTATTTTCTTTTCTTTTTCTTCAAACAAAAGCTTTGAATTTTCAACAATATTTTAAATTAACTTCTGTGATTTTCTGTTCAAGAACACTGTTCATATTTCCACTGGATATTAATGTTTTCCACACTGATTTTTAAGATGTACTTTAAAAACATAATGCCTAAGGAAAACACTTGCAAAAAAATCAGTTTGTCATATGCCAGTGAATTTTATGGGTCATGCATACTTTTTGGTGTATAGTTTACATTGTAGTTATATTATTTTTGTAATCCAGATGAAGCAGTAAAAATAAATGTAATTGTGCTCTATAGTTTATCTCAACTTGGTATGACTTGTTTTCACTTAAACTTGAATAAGTCTTAAATTCATTGACTCCCTCCGCCCATTTGTTTGAATGTTCTTATTTGGACAGATGACAGTATTCTAGGTGGTCTCTTTCTTTCCCTGTCTCTCCTGGGTACTGCTGGTCTCAACAGAATGGGCTCTCAGTCATGTGACTCCTTGGGAAAGCTTGAGAGGTGTCACTCACACACCTGGCTCTATGTCTGTTGTTCTGTAACCATTAAAAACAAACAAAACACATGTATTTTTGAATGGCTCTCGTATTTCTCTGAAACCTTACACTTTCCCTTTCTCAGCTTACATCCCAGTGACTTTCCTGAGGGACTCAGTAGCAGAAAAACTCCTTTGCTAGCTCGTTGTTACAGTGTTCATTCCCAGCAATTGCTATTACAATTCACACTTTTCCATAGTCAGGAGTTCAATGGCATAACTTCCAACGGCAGCAACTATTGTTAAGATTTGACTCAGAGTGTTTCACGTGACAAACAATGGTAGGAGTATCTCTAGGGGGCTCAACCTGAATCTCATGGTAACCACAAAGTGCCTCTTTATGCTGCTGGATAAGTTCATTCTCATCCACCCATTTGTTGTACTGTGTGTGAAATTGTTGCCTTAATTTTGGAGCATTTCCTGTTTTCAGTGAGAATTAGGGGGTTTCAAACAGGGCAGGAAATGGAGATGGCAGTCTTGGCAGAAGTGTGAGTCGGGCATCACAGTAGTGTGGAGAGAGAACTGGGTGTCTGGGCCACAGGGTCCAATCCTAACCGTAATATTTCATTACAGGACCTGGAGTAGGCTGCCACTTCCCTGTGCCTCATTTTTCTGCATCTGGAAAACAAATATAATGGTCTTAACTGGGGGTGCCCACACAGACCACTGAGGTGCAAAATAATGATATTAGAACTTGCTAATTGATGATTATATTACCTATTTGAAAACCTATCTGGATAGTGACTGGTGCCCCATGTCAGACAGTCATGTCACATCTATGTTACTGGGGAAAGGAGGATGTTCATTACACAAAGGTGTGCACGGTGACCTCCTGACTAGTTCGTTAGCTTTCATATTGCTGTGTTCCACAATCTGCCCTTGCTCCATTGCATTGTATTATTTAGTGTGAACCAAAGGAACTCTCATGAAGTGAATGAGTGCTCTAAAGATTCCTGCAAAGAAATGGGCGGGTTGAAGAACAGCAATTATGCAAGGACAAGAAAACAGCAAGAAAATGGCAGAATCAACCCTCCTTCTGCGCCTGGAATAATCTTTCCATCAGTGTGAGCATGAGCTAAAACAATGAAGATCTAATTGGATTAGACAAGACCTTGTCTTAAACCCACCAATTCTCTAAAGATAGGGATTTCCTTCTTGTTAACAATACACTTTGTTCCATGTGCCAGTTGTGCCTTTGTGAGTTCTCTTTCTCAGCTCTGATGATCATTAAAAGCAAGCAGGAAAATAAATGGAACTTTGGAGTTGATGTATCAAGTTTGATATTTGAGATGTTTCTATTGATATATCTCAAAGTGTAATTCCAGTGTGTAAAAAATGATGCAAACTCTACCACATTGCTCTCACTAATAGTATGATTATGGATAATATTTTAGTGGGGCCAGACATTTTTGTATAATCAATCACTAAAGCTGTACATTAAGAATTTGTTTTTACTTTTGTAGCATCTTTTTAAAGGTATTTTGTTTGTTTCACAATGAATATATTAGGTAAGTACATACAGAAAAACCAAGGTCTTTTTGTTGCTTTCTGGAGAGAATGTGGGGGGGGGGCATGTTTCTGAGGAAATAACTCACATTTCTTCAGAGCTGCCAGGGCTGCCTTTTCCCAGAGGAAGCAACCTCCCCATCCTCTGCATTTGCTGTCCCCTCTGTTTCCAAAATGCCTTTCTTTGCTAACCACCCATGTGGGCATCACAAGGCAGCCTGTAACCATTTGGCCTCATCCTGTGTCTTCCCAGTGCCTAGGAGAGGCCTGGCATGGAGAGGGGGCTCAGTGCTCCACATGCCTGCAGAGGAATGAATGACGAGGGCCAAAGCCAGCACTGGCCATCCCTGGAGAGTCACTCATGATGCTCTCCTGGCGCAGCGGAGGGTTTCATTAGGAGAGCTCAAAACTCCTGTGGATGTAGAGTATTCATGGAATGTAATCGGGAGTGTTTCACAAATGCTTAGCTTTGGGTGACCACATGTCATTCCCCAAAATTCACCCTTAAATTTCAAAGAGGATCTCAAAATCATTTGAAAAATAAAATTCTCCAATGAAGATGATTTTCTATAATGATATATTAGTACGTTTAGAGACAGGTAACAGAAATTGAAGTATAAACAGCAACTGTGAAAACCACAAAGCTCCCTTCAATAAACTCTGGATCTGAGAATCATTGAAACCCAAACTGAACAACTATCTAGAAAACACTAACCGTGGAAACACAGCACATCCAAACTTATAGCAAATGCTATTCAAAGAGGAAAATGCATAGCATTGAATTCTTCACATAACTAAAAATGAAAGTGTGAAAATGAATTGGGCAAGTCAGCATCAAGCTAAAAAAGTTAGAAATGGGGGAAAAAAAGAACTCAAGGAAAGCAGAACAACAGAAATAATACTGGAACAAGATGTTTTGCAGCTCAGAAGATCCAAAGGCTTGAGCAAAGAGCTAATGATAGGGTGGCTACTATTTTTTTTTTTTGAGCAGAAAAAGGCAGAAATACAAGGTTGAAAGTGAGAAAAAAATTAAAAAAAATACCAAACACATGAGGGAAAACAACTTTTCACAGCCTGCCTCTTAGAACTCTGTGTAGGGAGGTAAAGAAAAGGGGAGCTGGCTGGGGTAGCTGTGCCTGGGCTTCTGGTCATGCCCTTCCTGATCTGTCACCCCCATGCCAACAGCCCAGTCCCTCCTGTGTGGCTGCCTGTTCTCCTGGGACAGGGAACAGAAACTTCCCATCTAGGCTGCAAGCTGAATGGGGTGTCAGGGCTGGGCCTGGAGGGTGTATGAGGTGCAGGGGCCCAGCCCATGGCTACAGCTTGGATGCAGGTCTTATCTGCAATGCTTTGGTCTGATTTATACTTTTCTATGCCCATACCTACTAAGAAAGAATCAATATATTTTTTTTAACAAAAACCAGAGAGAGGAAAGTTTATTTTGAGATGTAGAATTAGGTAAGGCAAAAGGCAAGCTTGAGCTTTTTCTGAGAGTTGAAGTATAAACACTTTGGAGTTCCCCTAAGATGTCTAGACCAGTGTAACAGTTGTCTTTGTTTAGGGCAATAACTTCTAATCTTAAATTTGTGACACCCCAGGATGTCTCCGGATATCTCCCAAGGTGTTGTAATATTTCCCCCACAACTGCCAAGTAAAATAACTTCAGTTCATTTAAAAAGTATGCCACACATGTTTGGACGAAAGGGCGGGCGTCCTAGAATCAAGAGAACAGTCATAAGTATTTCGAAAGCTTGAGCCTTGTCAATTACATTTTAAAAATCGACACCAATTTTTGAATAGATACAATAAATGCAGGAAATAAAGTAAGAAGTGATGGTCCACGTGCGTGGTTTTGTGGTTGGGGAAGACAGGGAAGGAGGTGGTTAGTTGGGACACATTTTAGTGGAAAACCCTTGTGACTACTTACTAATGGTTGAATTAGCACTGACTGTCAATTAGAAACCCAGTTCATAGGTCCTCTCTACCTACTTGCACTAAACACTGGTGCCTTGAAGTTGGTTTCAAAGATCTCTGTGCAGAATTAGTTTCTTTGAAACAAATAAACACAGACCATAGAAAGTGGCAGCTAGGCATGGTAAGCTTAATTTTGTCAGCATTTCCCTTAGCTTCTGACTGCAATGGTTAACCTGAGGCCCTGGGATTACACTCGGGTTACACATCGCTGCTCTGCAGTATCTAATTCTTAACCTCCTTGGTCATTAAGAGGTTAGTAACTAAAACACCACTGTGGGTTTACCACTGGGAAGCTGGCTTATTGTCATTATGTTTTCCTGTAGCTTCCAAATGTCCAATAAAATGTATTTCCTGCTGGGTCACTGCCTCAGGCCTCACAGCTTTCTTCAATCGTCTGATAAATCTGAACATGGATTTCTTCAAGAAGAGTCACATACATATGCACTCAAAAAGACATCGTTGAAAAAAGGCATCTAGTTTTGTATTAGGCCTGCCTTTTCCCTGGAGAACTCAGTTTTACTGTTTACTTTTCATTCTTCCTATCACTGTGTATTTAAAATTAGAACTACGTCTACATTCCAGTGAGAAATTCCTTATAAGTACTTTTTACTTAACCCTTTATCAACTGTTAACTGCTCTCCAAAAAGAAGTTTCTTTTAAACGAATCCCTCTATAGCACATTTCGAAAGTTATCTGATGAATCAAACATCTGCAAATTGAGTGGGGAGAGGGAAAAAGAATGTATTCTTGCCTTATTTGTACAGTAGCACTGGATCCCGGGACCACAGGCACATTTGTCACTTGAACTGAAAGATAATTACTATGAGTGGCCAGGCCCCTTCCACTTTGCTTGTCTGGAAGTGATCCTTGAAAGTTCTGAGGTGAGGCTCTCCAAATAAGCCACGAAAAAGGTAATTGGGAGGGTTCTGGTCCCCCCTCCTGTGTTCCCTGACTCTAGCATGGCTATGATAGTTGCAAGGATCATGGGTCACTTCGGGGTTGGTAGAGGATGTGGGTCCATCCTTGGAACAATTCCTCTGGCTTATGAGGTCACTGATACCCAACACAGCAGAATGGTATACCAGGTTGCCACCGCAGGCTTTTGAAGTTTGCTGGGTGCAGCCAGCATAGGCACGCAGGGCCTTGCAAAACTCAGAGTCAAAGCTGTCAATGGCAGAGTTCGGGTGGGAAATTAGGGACACAAAGTCTGTGGTACATTTCTGAATTCGACATTGGGTTGGCTGTTGGCAGTCACCTGCGTGGAGCAGCCCGAGGCTGAGTAGCAGCAGCAACAGCAGCTCCAGCGGCAGCGGGCAGAGACCGGGGCGGCGGCGCAGGAAGGTGCTGCTCTCAAGCCCATGCCGGTCCAGCAGGTCTCGTGGGCTCCAGCGAGGGCGGCGTGGCAGGTCTGGGCCTGTGGCTGCTGCATTGGCCGAGGGGCGTGCCTGGCTTCCTCTTCTTCCTCATCATTGTTAACCCTTCCTCTCCTGGAGGGGGCTCAGAGGGATCGGAACACACAGGACCACAGGCATTCCCTTGTCTGCAGCACGACGCTTGCCAGCTGGGAAAATCATCAATTTTTTTTAAGTAAAATGATAGATTCTAAAGTCCTCTATAGGTTACTTTTTTAAATGGAGGGACTTACTTTCTGGAACTTACACGTATGTTTTTGTGGGATGAAAGAATGAATGAGTGATCCTAAGACAGCTCTACTGTCTGCTGCCCTTGAGGATGACACCTGACGCTGTTGATGCTGCTGCTGTTTTTCCCAGTGGAACTTACAACCCCAGTGAAAAAGCCACAGTTCCTGGCAGGTGTTCTGGATTCTATGATAGCATTAAATCGTATAGGCTATGAATGCTCAAATTCACCATGCCCAAAAACAGAGTTCTTAATGACTGGACCTCCCCCTGCAAACCGGCTTTGTCTCTCTCCTTCACCCAACTCAATGGCCCTGCCATTTGCCCAAACTTGCTCAAGCCAAAACCCTAGAGGTCCACCCTTGATTCCCTTCTCCTGTCTCACTCACATCCAATCCACCATAAGGTCTTGTCAAGAGACCTCTAAAGCATTTTCCAAATGGATGCAGTGCCCTCCCTCTCCGCTGCATCCAGCCTGGCCAAAGCCACCATCATTTTCTGCCTGGAGCACTACGGCAGCTTCTCACTGGGTGTCCACGCCAGTGCTCTCTCCGCCTTCAGATGTTCTGCTTGGACTAGCCGGAGTTATCTTTATAAGGTAAATCCATCACATCACCCTCCTGGTTCAAACCTTCCAAGGCCTGTCAATCACATCTGTAACGAAATTGAGACCCCTCTCCCTGGAGGCTGCACAGGGCCTGGACCCTGCCAATCTTATCAGTACTTGGCTTTACCAACCGCCCCCAACCCCTGGACCTCATATGGTTCAGCCACGGTTGCTTTTGTGTCTGTCCCCTAAATTTGTTCCTGCCTTAGAAACTTGCATTTGCTCTCTCTCCTGCAATCCAAGCCCCTCAAAGGGCAAGGAATTTCTTTTGTCTGAGGTCAGCCTAAACATCATCGCTTTAGATTTGATGTAAGGATCCCCCTGCCATTCACTCTATCACATTTCCCTGTTATATTTTCATTATAATATGTACAACACCATCGAAAAGTCTTCATGCATTTCTATATATGTATAGAAATGGCCAGTGATGAGAGGTTCATCATCTTGTCTCCTCTTAGCCCGGAAGCCAGACAAGGATTTAGGTTAATTTTCTTTCTCATCAGATGTGCTATGGAGCTTTCTCCAGTGGTTCTGGATCGAGAAAAGTCTTCATCCCAGATTCTTAGTAAACACCCCTGACCTGCATGCAGTGCCCTCCTGGCCGCCATGCGTCGACTGCATCTGACTCTGCCACCTTGCTTTTCATGCTATTTTGGCCTGCAGACTTCTAAGGTGATCAGGAAGAAAGGGAAGGACACTTGGCCTAGGTAACAACAGCCTTGAGACCACTGTCCTAAGCAGCCCCAGAGCTAGCTTACTAGGATGAAATTCCATGGGGGCAAGGAGCTTTCCTCTGAAGTGACCCATTTTTAGTCTTTTTGCAAAACCTGACATCTAGTTATATTCTGTTTCTTCTAGACATGTTTTATGATCAGTAAATGTTGAGTGAAGGTCTCGGTTAGAGGGAAAATTTAGAGGTCAAGTCCGCATGAGAGAGGAAGGGAAAGGCATCAAGGTCATGCCAGTTAGCACAATTACTATGTAAGGAGCTAGGCTGGCACATTTAAGACAAACTACATGCCACTAGACATCGTGGAGCCAGAGAGTCAAAGAAGGAGAAAACCCGGGCAGTGCAGTGGGAGATTGCCTTTGCCCAATGGCAAGAGTGGAGCGGACCAACATGGAGGGCCAAGCTGAGGACAAGCTGCACTGGAGTTGCCCTGCATGTGCCTCTTCCGGTGCCTGGCAGCAAACCCCACACGGGGCTATGGCATCGCAAGGAAAAGACAGTGAGTAGTGGAAGCCCATGTTTCATCTGGAGCTCGACTACCTGTGATCCCCACCTCCATTCCCTTTAGGGAAGGTTAGGGGTAATGGGGAAGGCAGGGTTGCAGAAAGGAATGACTGGTAGGAAGGGGGGATTCTGAGTGAGAGTGTAAAAGGCTATTTGAAGCTGTGGCTTGGAGACAGCCTCTAGTATGGAGACCACTTGCTCCTCCTTTTAATCAGACCCAGTGTGTAAATAATGAATTCAGAGCTACATCCACATTGTCTCATGGGTTCTCCTCATTGTCATCACTACTTATACTTAAACAAACCTAGCATGAAGAGAGGGAAATGCTAACCCTCCTGGTGCCCGGGGAAAGTGGGTGGCTGGGGCAGAGCGGTCCTAAGTAGCCTGCAGCTTACTCATTGCCTCCCCTGGGAGGGGTGGGCCGGCCCAGAGTATGGTGTAGTAGTGAATTGATGCCATGGCCTTTGTGTTTTATTGGTCACCAAACAATTTATTGATTTAAAGTTGCTTATAAAATGCCATATCGGCTACTGCTAATTAAATGAGTTAATATTTGTAAAGCTCAGCTCAGTGCCTGGCATGGTAGCTATTCCTCTAACAGCAGTTGTTACTACGGCAGCTATGGCGTTTTGGCTACTGACTTCTGGTAGCCTGTGTAGACAAATAGCTCTCGGTGTTACTCCACAGGGATCAGGCAAGGCTGATCAGCTCCATTTGCTTGCCTGATGGGCTTAAAAGGCATGAAGAGAAAAGGCTGAAGGAACGGCTCTGCACACAGTCATTTTTCTGACTAAATATCTGGCGCTGGTGATTCTGGAAAGGAAATACTCTCTAATGGCCCCACATACACATGCAGGTGTCGTATAATGTATGCAGAGTGCACATCTGTTGGTGAAACAGGAACATACTTGTTTGCAATGGTGAAATAAACACTTAGGCAGTATTTACTACGGTCAGCTGTGAGGCCATCAGACTACTTAGGAGAGCCATCCCTGAGCCACCTACCTCCTGGCCCCATTGGTGGGGGTACCTATATGATTCCACCAGGACTCAGAGACTGGATTGATAAGCCTTCACTATCCAGCCTCCTACAGCACCCTGGATCATTAGAGAGGAACAGCCAAGGCCCTCCTGGGGACATGTGGCCCACTCCCTCTCTCCACTATCACTTCCTTGAGCACACACACTGCCCCCTTCCCTTGGCCCATAGATGTTCCTAAAACCCATGAGTGATATTAGACCGCCAGGTTACTGGCAAGAGGAGTTTAAGCCCAGGTCTCTAAGAATGAGAGCCTTTATGTTAGGTGGCCTGTTGCTGAATTATTCTGCTTGGAAGGATAGACTCACCTCCTATCCCTCCAGTTGAATCCTTATTCCTTTTCTGTTTGCCCCTACTCTGCTCTGAGAGTCCCATCTCAACCTGCTCCTGTCTGCAGAATCCCCTTGACCTGTAGACTACTGTGAACCAGCTCTCTTTGTGGGCAACTGCCTCGGCCCCCAGCCTGGCTGCCTGCAGAATCTCACTCCAGCTGTAGCTGTGCTCCCTCGGCCACATGCTGTCCCGGCAAATACCACCAGCCTGCACAGGACTTCTGAGGGACCTGAGTCCCCAGTCTAGGACTTGTCTAGATTCAATTCCAGGGCTTTCAATCAGACTTCTACTGGAAACAGAGTCCCAGCTGTGTGTCAAATAGGTTTCTTCTGCCACCCACCAATGCCTGTTGGAAAGGCCAGCATCTCTCCGGGGACTCCGGGGCAATGCCGGAGTGTCTTTTGGGTCAGTTCAACCTTTGAGAAAGGCTGTTGGTGGGAACAGGTGGGCATGGATTACCACCAGAAAACGTTCCTTTTCTCTTTTCTCTCCTCTTTTATTTGACGTAACGCACAGGACCTTCCTCTGTCCCCATGTGCTTTAGAACAGCATACTGCTTTTTCAGCATGCTATTGATCCACTGCTTCCGAAATAAACATTCAACCACTTGACTGACTCCTTTGCTGGGGAAAACAATTCCACGTGGGTGGCGGGAACTAACCACACATGCCTTTTATGAACCATGTGGAGTCCTGGGGTCCAAGGACCTGTTCACCCACAGTGACCACGCTGGGCTGTCCTTGCGAGCCAGAGACAGAAGCCGTACAAAGACAGAGAAGCACCTGAAGGGGAAGGGGTGGCAGGAGGGTTTCCCTTTGTATCAAGATTCAAGAGCAGAGTCTCACTTTGTTTTCCAAAACAGGCACTTGTATTAGTGTACCTAAGTTGTGAAGCAGGAGTCGGTATTTGAGGTCAGCAGTGCTGCTCTTCCTTATTTTCAAACACTCTTAATTTTACTGGGGACATGACATCTGTTTTCTTGTCTTTTTGCTTTCTCTACCTGCTTTCATGTCTTCTCCAAAGACTCCATTCTGGTTCTCACCTCTGGACCTCTGCTTCTGTGGTTCCCACAGCTAAGGCACCCCCCGCGCCCCCGCCACCGACCTTCTCCTGCAGTGCCTCTCATATGCAGTCCACAAATTCCCACGCATTCTTCAAGATGCAGCACAGGCATCTCTTTCTCAGGAAGCCTCCCTTGTCCGCTTGCCTCATCGCTAACCCAAGCCCCTCTCCACTGACCTCTTGTACCTGGGCATTCATCCACGTTCTCCCTAACACACGTCAATCAAAACCTCATCTGTGTCTCTCCCCTTCTAGACAGGAGGTTTTTGGGAATTTTAATCATGGTTACATTCCTCACAGCCATCACAAACCCAGGCACATCATTGAGGTTGAAACTGGTGTTCAGCCCTGCACCGGCTCTCAACATTGCCTTACTTTACATACATTCTTTTCTTGAGAAGAAACTACATGACCTTGGGCACACCTGACATGCTTCTGATTTTTACAGGGACTGATGTGCAGGGTGGCTCAGTATATTGACTTTTCTCATCTCTATGTTCTGTCATCTACATCTGGAGTTAAACGTTTTGGCCTCAGACTCCCTTTATAATTTTTTTTGAGACAGGGTCTTGCTCTGTTGCCCAGGCTGGAGTGCAGTGGTGTGATCAATCGTATCTCACTTTACCCTTTAACTCCTGTGCTCAAGCAATCCTCCAACCTCAGCTTCCTGAATAGCTAGAACTACAGGCTTGTGGCCTCATGCTTGACTGATTTTTTTCTTTTTTCAATTTTTTGTAAAGTTGGGGTCTTGTTATGTCACCCAGGCTGGTCTTGAACTCCTAGCCTCAAGTGATCCTCCTGTCTTGGCCTCCCGAAGTGTTGAAATTACAGGCATGAGCCCCCATGCTTGGTTCCCCTTTATAATCTTAAGAATCGAGGGCACCAAAGAGCTTTTGTTTATGTGGGTTATATCTACTGGTAGTTATTGTATTACAAACTTAATGAAAATTTTAAAATTAGGTCATTTAAAAGTAATAAGCAAACATACATATTTTTGAAACAAAAAATTTAGTGAGAAGAGTGGCATTATTTTGTAACAGAGTTCTCAGCCTTGGCACTACTGACATTTTGGAGTAGCTGCTTCTTTGTTGTAGGAAGTTCTCCAGTGCATTGTAGATGGCAAGCAGCATCACTGGCCTCTACCCACTACATGGTAGTAGAACCCCCTCCTCCCACTTTGATGACCAAAAGTTGCCTGATTTCCCCTGGACAGATGGAGAGAGAGAACGACAAACCTCACCCTGGATGAGAACCACTGGTTTACTATTTTGCCAATCTTTTTTTACAATTTAGATTTATATTAAGTTCCAGGATACATGTGCAGGACATGCAGGTTTGTTACATAGGTAAACATACGCCATGGTGGTTTGCTGCACCTATTAACCCATCACCTAGGTATGAACCCCAGCATGTTTTAGCCATTTTTCCTGATGGTCTCCTTCCCCTGCACATCCATGGGCCCCAGTGTGCATTATTCCCCTCCCTGTGTCCATGTGTTCCCATTGTTCAGCTCCCACTTATGAGTGAGAACATGCAGTCTTTGGTTTTCTGTCCCTGCATTAGTTTGCTGAGGATGATGGCTTCCAGCTCCTTCCATGTTCCTGCAAAGGACATGATCTCATTCCTTTTCGTGGCCACGTAGAATTCCATGGAGCATATATATACCACATTCTCTTTATTCAGCGTATTGTGAATGGGCATTGGTGTTCATTCCGCGTCTTTGCTATTGTGAATAGTGCTGCAGTGGGTGGCTATGTATCACATTTTATTTATCCAGTCTATCATTAATTGTCACTGGTGTTGATTCCATGTCTTTGCTATTGTGAATAGTGCTGCAATGATTTATACTCCTTTGGATATATGCCCAGTAATGGGATTGCTGGTCAAATGGTATTTCTGGTTCTAGGTCTTTGAGGAATTGCCATACTGTCTTCCACAAC